AAAAAACTACACAAGCAGAGTAAAGATGATTCTAATTAATCACATATAAAATAAATTTGGCCAAGTACCCCCTACCGAAGAGGAACCACAAAAAGCTTTAATTTTTCTACAAAAATAACTTTTTCTTCCTTTTTTTTTTGTCTCCGGCGAATTGACCGAGACACTATATCCAAGCAATGCCTCCGAGATTGAAAGGCAATACATCATCCTGATATAAACGGAAAGAACAAATCTACTGTGACAAGTTTTTCGACATAGATAATATGAAAAGGTAATATGTATGTTTAGTAGTTGTTGATTTTAAAATGATGCGATGTGTAAATTAAACAATCGTGATATTAGCTATTCCAACAAATTTAAAATTATCTTACATGTGATAATTCAAATAAAAATAAATCGTTGTGATATGTGTTATTATGTCAAAGTTAATATCATCTTATATGTGATGATTCAGATAGAAATAAACTGAAGGGTTATTCTAAATTATTGAAATAAGCGAATAATATGACATGGATGACATGAATTTTTCTTTTTAAAGGCGTAATTACGTTTTTTAATCCTGCTAGTACAACGCCGTAGCTTTTTTTGTCCCAAGATTTTCATTTTTTTCCTGCAATTTTAGTCCAAATGATTGAAATTGCAACAAAATTTGAAATTACAAGACTTAAATTGCTAATAAAAAAATCTTTTGGATGAATTTTTTATTAGCAATTTAAGTCCTATAATTTTAAAATTTATGCGTTTTCAGCCCCGAAGGACTGAAATTGCGTTGAATTTAAAAGGGTTAATTGCTAAATAAACCGTAACCTTTTTGCGTTTGGTAATTTTATCTCAATCTTTGGGTAATTGCAATATAATCTCGACCTCAATTTACTTATTGCAAGTCGAACCTAAAACCGGCTGGACCTTCAAAAAACTGGTCGATTTGAAGGCGGTTCGAATAGATCGGAACTTATATTTACCAGTTCACTCCAGATCTAGGAGGAGACTCATCACCGGTAGCTTATATTGACGTAGAATTTTCGGCTTTGTGCGTGGATATACATTAAATACGTGGAAATTGTCAACTTGCTACGTGGATGACATAAAAGTCCGTGTCAATGGAAGACTTTGACACAAAATCGATCCACAAATCCCGAAAATCAAGCACTC